CTTCACTTTATTCAGCGTGTGTGCCTGCTTATTTGTTTCAATCATATCTGACTCTTTGCAACCCAATGGACTACAGCCTGCCAGGCTCCTCTGTCCCTAGGATTCTCCAAGCAAGAATACTGGAGTGGGTTGCCATGCCCTTCTCCAAGGGATCTTCCCAACACAAGGATTGAACCCATGTCTCTTATATTTACCTGCATTGGCAGCCATGTTCTTTACCACTAGCACTACCTTTGAAGCTCCCTCAATTTATTGAGGTGTTTACTCAAATGTTGTCTATTCTGAGAGGATTTCTCTATCCATATATACAGAATAGTATGCCCCAGACCCTACTCTGTTTCTTTACTTACTCTGCTTTACTTTTATTTTTTTCAAACCCATCATCACAGCCTGATGTATGTGTGAGGTATGTTGGGGGAATCTGTCTCCTCTCAGCATGATGTAAACTAAAAGCACTATTGAGGGAAGGATTTTTTTTTCTGAGTATTTCCCTCTTCTATACCTGTCATAACTATTTTGTGGTCCTGCCTCTGATTTAGTGTCAGAATTTGAGAGACCTCTTCTATCAACAAGGAAAAATAAAAGACCTGATTCTAGACTGTTGGTCCAAGAAGAGGGGAATGACAGTCTCTCTCTTCCCAATAGAATGTATGTAAGTTTCAAGAGAATAGAGTTTTTATTCACTGTCTGGTCAAAGTTGAGCCTCCCTCTGACTCAAAGCAAGCAGGTATGATATCAATTTTATCACGAAATAATCTGAAATTTGGTTCTAGTTGAGGAGGCCAGGAAATTAGGGGATAAATACATAGATGGTGAACACAGAATTCTACTTTGATTTTTTTTTCTCCCACTAAGATATAGTTCCATATTTTGCTCACTGCTGTATACTTAACTTCTGAAACAGAGTTTGATCCAGAGTGAAAATTTGATCTGACTAAAAATTTGTGGGATATTTCCAAATCATGATGAGACAATATAAGTCCTAAGGGTCAGGAGTATAAAGGTGATTGTGGCTGTCTTCCATTTCCCTTTAAAATAACAATGATTTTGTTTAGACTGTTCACTGCTCTGTTTCCAGGTTCTAGGCCAGGGCTGAGCCTCACTCTCTTGCTATATGCTAAAAGTCCAATGTCATCATGGAATAATATGTTTGGTTCAAGACTTGGGGCCAAGTGAGAGAACAGGGACTAGGAAACAACATTACATATCTAAAATGTATATATAGTTGTATTTTTTGTGGTAGTCTAAAGACAAACTATATAGTTTGTCACTTAGTACATATTCACTCCTCTAACCCTTTAATGAAACTTATCACACTCTTTTTATGTTGTTTTGTAGTGTTTTGTACCCACCTTACATCTTGTTATTTACCTGAAGGTTACTTGAAAGATAAAAGACCATGTGTTAAATGAAGCTTTTTGTTTTGTCCCCTGCTATGTCCCAAACTCTTAAAACAGTTCAAGGATTGGGAGCAGTCCTAATTCTGAGTATCAGAAAGTAGGACAACTCCAGTATTATCATGGAAAAATATAAGGTTTACTTCTAATCTTGAGGTCAGTGGTGGGTAGTGGATAGCTGCCTCCCTACAGTCAAGATAAAGTGTCCTTGAGAGGTGAAATTTTGTCTTTTTCAGTCAATTGCCAGTGCTGTGGCTAGGGCCAAGCCTGGGTATCAGGAGTAGCAAAAGTATCTAGAACAGAAACTTGCATTCAGGTCAGTGTTACTGTTATTTTTGAAGTTGCAATCCATTTCCCAATTGGAAAAAAAAGAAGATCCCTGCAACAAAAACTAAAAGAAATTTCACATGATTTAAAGTTTACTATTCATGTTGATTTTTTTTAAACACAGAAATAAATACTGTTATCAACTATGGTATATTTTCAATAAAAATATAAAACATAAGCAATATTCACGCTAAATTCATGATAGTGTCTCTCTTTGCAGAGGAAGGAAACTTTAAATTTTGCAAATATGCCAAATGTTGACATTTGCTAATTCTAAGTGAAGGTAAATAGATGTTTCTTATGTCTTTCATACTTTCCATACTATGTTTTCATTTTTCAAAATAAATAAAATGCAAAGAGAATTTAAAACAGTTGGAGATGGTTTTATTACAATGTTTTCAAAATTGAACATATCTAAGATATATGCATATACAACACACAAAGACATAAAGCATCTGAATAATACAAGCAAGAAGCCTGTAATACAGAAAACTTTAAATTTTGTATTTCACAGAGGAATATACATTCCTTTATAACAGAAAGCTTGAATAAATCAATTATCATTGAAGAGATAAGAAAGTGGATTAAAGATCTACCACTAAAATTGTCACCAGGATTAGATTGTTTTTATAGCTCATTACCAGCTAGTTTGTAAAGAACAAATAATTCTAAAGCTATTTAAACTATTCCAGGATACTGTAAAATGGTTGAAAACTCATAATTTCATTTTTTAAAGCTAGCACAATTTTAATAACAAAACTTGTAAAATATAATTTCACTTTGAAATGTAAATACAATAATACTAAATAAAATATTAGTTAATAATATCCAGCAATATATCAGATGATTATTACACCATGACCAAGTGGGATTTATTCCAGATACACAAATTTGGTTTAATATAAAATACCTGCCACTCTAATTCATTATGCCAACAAATTAAAGGAAAAAAAATTGTACTATTTTATCAATTGACACTGAAAAGATATTTGATAAACTTCAGGAGCCACTTTTAGTAACAATGTTAAGTAAAACAGGAAGAAATGAAATTCCCTAAACATGTTAATGGTTAGTGACTATTTACCAATAACCAACAGCAACTGTCATATTAATAGAGAATACTAAAGACAAATTCATGAAAATTAAGAACCAGACAGGCATGTCTGTCATATCATCATTCAACATTTTTTTGAGAATCCAGATAATATAATAATGATTAATATAAACATTGTAAGAAATAAAATGATCTTACTTGCAGGTGAGATGACTCTATATCTAAAAAGTCCCAAATATTCTATTTTAAAAACCCAGTATAATTCAGAGGATTTTGTAAGATGAAAATAGAAGGAAAATAACTCTAGTTTGTATATATTGACAAAAATACAAATGAGGAGGAAAAGATACATTTCAAAATGTGACAAAGACTGTAAAAATATTTAGAGATAAATTTAATCAGATGTGATGAACTTATATGAAGAACATTACAAAAATACAAGCAAAAGATTTTAATGATGTACCAAAATTCTTAAGTATTTACAATTAATATTACTATTAAAATCATCCTCTAATAGAAATGCAGAAATGTAATACAATTCTAAGACATCACACTTTTTTTAAAAGTGGAAAGAATGCTGACAAGTTTCATGTGAAAGAATGAATGCCTAGGACAAATTACATAAAAGAAAAAAAAAAAACAGTGACAGGGGACTTGCTTTACCAAAGTCCAAAGTTTATGGTCAAGCCAGTACAACTAAAATAATGTGATACTGGATCAGAAACTGGAAAGTGGGTGATTTATTTAATAAATGTGATAGCATAACCAGGTATACAATGTAAACAAAATGTATAGTTGGACGTCTACCGTATGCCATACACAAAAATAAATTCCTGATGGATCAAATAGTTACTAGGAAATAATGTAGGTAAATATTTGTATGACTAGGGGTGGGAGCATTCAGCTGAAAAAGACAAGAAACCCAAAAGCTTAAAAGGAGATAGGAATCTATCTAAATTAAAAAACAAACAAACAACAACAACAAAAATTGTACAGTAAAAAAGAGAAGATATCAATAAAGTCAATATTAATGATAGAATGGAGAAAATCATAACACGTGTGGGCTACAACTAATAGCACGACATAGGAAATATATTTAGAATTACTACAGATTTATAAGGAAAAGATCAACTATTCAATAGAAAATGAGCAAAAGATAAGAATTAGCAATCACAAAAAAGTCCAAATAGTAAAAAACAAAAACAAAAAACTCATTGAGTTTGTCAATTAAAGAGACAATACTATGTAATTTTTCAACATTCAGGTTTGCAAATACTGAAGTGTGCTGCTGTAGGAGATGCTGGAAAATGATCACTTTCATTTTGGATGGCAATTTTGTAGTATCTCTTAAAATTAAATATACACCTACCTAGCAGTCCCATTTCTGGGAAGCTACTGTATAGAAATAAAAGCATCAGTAGCAGTGCTATGGTGGGAAAAAAAAAAGAAAATAACTTAAAAGACCATCAAAAATGTAATGGTACATAAATTCTATCGTTTTGGTACATAGTATGTACTGTGTATACAGCTATTAGAAAGAAGGAAGACAAGACAAGGAGAAATAGAAGGAAAGGGGAAATGAGTGATTCATTTAACAAATGTGATGGTACAATCAAGCATTCAATATAAGTACAATGTATAGTTGGACCTCTATCTTATACCATATACAGAAATAAATTCCAGGGGGAGATGGAAAAGAGACAGAGGCAGTGGAGAGAGAGAGCGATATCTGTAGTTACTGACCAGAGGATATGTCAAGTGAGAAAAGCAATTACAGAGAAATAATGTGGCTTGCTGTTTCTGTAGAAAGAACAACAAATTTCCTTTAGGAAAATGGGGAAAACATGGAAGGATATACATTATGTTCTTAACATTTGTTACCTTGGGAGAAAAAAAAATGGTAAGGCAAAGAAATGGAGGAGGGGAAGATATAGTGTGTATACACCATTTATTTTTCTTTATCTAATTTTCCATTGTTAAAACTTTATGAACAGTTTTTAATTTTATACTAGCATCCTATTTAAAAATTTTATTACAGAACAAGGTAATATAAAAAGTACCAAAGTATACTTGGGGCAAAACTGTGGAACTAGTCAATGTAAATTTGGCGCACAGTAATTAATAACTTCTTTAATCTCTGACACCAAAACTGTTCTCAAAAGTTCACACAATATATTTTACATTTAATAATTCCACAACTTCTGCAATAGTATAATGAATCTTTAGGGTGTTTTCACCAAACCATAGACATAAATGTGAATATCATCATCAAACTTAATAAAGTAGACAGATGGCTTGGCAACAACTTGATGAATGAAAATGCCGGTTCTCTTGGACCCATCATCTTTGGCGTGCTCCACCTGCTTGCCCACAAGGCTGTCGACAACTTCTCCAGGCTCCCGTTCTGCTGTAGGGAAATAGTAGTTGGAATCTGGAATGATGCGCAGGTCACCATCTTTGTAGTCATCCAGCAGTGTGTACATATAAAGGACTGGATCTTTCTCATAGGTGATGTAAAACCAAGTGTCCATCACAGGAGCTCGCGCCAGGACCATGCCTTTCCATTCATCTTTCGTACCGTGCTCACCCTCAAACACATGACCTACTGCCTTGCCAATCAGGGAATCTGCCAGGCGCGAATCAATGCGAGGAGTTGGCACTCTCTCAGGAAGGATCTCTAGTGCTAAAACTCTCTTATCTCGGTGCAGTTCTAGCCCATACACACTATCCTTGCCATCATATTTGATGATGTAGAGAGTGGGCTTCACGGAAACCTGCTCAAGCACGGTGCCCTTCCACTGCTCCACAGGCTCGTTGCCTTCCTTCCAGCCGTGTTGAATGCGGCAGCCAACGATGTTCCTACGGGTGAGGAAAGTGGGCTTGCGCCGCTGCTTCCTGTGGGTGTGCCTTTTCTTCATCAGGTATGCGGACACGCCATCTACGCCCATTGGAGGCACTGTTGGGGGCGACATGGCTAGCGTTTAAGGAGGCTCGGCAATGTTGCCACTTGCTAGATTAAACTAACAAAAAGTCAACGGTATCCAGTATGAGATCTTTTTTTCGTGATCTCCCAAAAAGACAGATCCTGTCCTGTCCGTTCTCCTTCTCCTTTCCCCAAAGGCAAGACTCTCACTAAGGCTTGGCAGAAACGCTCTAACTCTGGGCACTAGAACAGTGGGGGCCTCTTGACAGTATTCTCTCCCGCTCCAGAGAGGTATCTGCAAGCAGTGGCGGTTGCCGTTGGAGATGGCGGGCTTGCGTGTGTTGCCCGCGCCTTGAGCCCGCCCCGACTCCCAACCCTAAGTCCCCAGAATTGACCACTTAGCTGTTATCGATGGTGCGGCGGATGCGGAACGGCGACGGAGGAGAGGACGGGAAAGAGATAAGGGATGGCTGCAGCGCCAAGTCGCCGGCGGCGGAGGTTCTTTGAGAAGTCCGCGCGGCCTCGGTTTAGCAATGTTTCTCTGCTCGGCCTAACTCTGGCGCCAGGGTTTTTGCCGCTTCGGGAACCCGACCCCTCAGAGCCCGCCAGAGCCTCAGCCTCGGCCCCGCCCCCGCCATTCCGCCTTCCGCTCAGCCAGCAGCAGCAGCAGCTGCAGCAGGGCGGGTTAGTGCGCACACTGCTTTCGTCCACACAGTCTCAGGCTCTCACTCCTTCATTTCCTCACGCGCCCCCCGACTGCTTCCCTCAAACCCTAGCCAGACTGTCTGGCTCCCCTCCTCCTACTCTCTGGCCGTCTGTCACCCACTACCCTCCTCCACAGCCTCTCCATCTGCTTTCTATCTTCCAGGAATTCCTCACAAAGCTTTTCTAAAAAATAATGTTCAACATACACACAGAGTTTGTCCATACAGTTTTTTTATTTTTTCGGATAAGTAAATGCTGTTGTACAGTCCACCATCTTGATCCAAAATCTCCTTTATATTTTCGACTTGAACACTCATGATAATGATTTTTTAATATGCAAGTTTTCTGAATTCAAAATAAATGTACTGACACTGGAGATTTTCTGAAATTCAGTGAAATAAAAACCGACACTAACCTTAATCTTACCATCTAGATATACACCAAAATGTTAACATTTCTGATATCTCAATAAATCTATGCTTGTATTTCACAAAATTGGGAGCAACTTTCATACCTTTACAGCTTCTTTTTAAATTCATATCATGAACTTTTCCCAGAGTTATTAACTACTCTGGAAACTTTTTTTTAAAATTGTTCCATAATGTTCTTTTGTAAAGATATTCTGTTATTTATCTTAAATATTCTGAAAATAAGTAAAACTAGTTTATCCTCATATATGGATTTGTTGAGCTAGTATAAACCATTTTTTCAAAGAATATTTAATGACATGGAGATATACATATAAGAACAGTGTGTGAAAAAGCAGGATGTTGAAGCAAAATTGTGATTCCCAATTTTGTAGAGAAAGAAAAAATAAGATTTTTGTAGTACATATTTGCAGTTTTTCTGATTATAAAATTACTACATGTTCATATGGAAAATATGAAAACTAGAAAATAAAGTATTTATAATTTCACCTATTTCAAGTCAAAGGTCTGTTATCAGGATTAAATGAGAATGTCTGCATGTCTTTATTCCTACATTATACAATTTACAAGATGGCAATATATACCGGGGAAGTCTAGACTCATTCTCATTCCTCCACTCTTTACTGGTGAGAAGAGAAGGCTTCATATCATTATGGGTTAAAAAGGCCATAATTCTTCTAGAAATGTAGGAAAACAGGAAAGAGAGGCAAAGCAGCAATTCAGGCTGCCTCCACATTTATTACCTTCCAAGACAGGGAAATAATAGCTGATTGGGCAGAATATGTGTGGATCTTTTACTTCCCCATGTTTCTCAAGCTAAAGGCTTTGAAGTTATGATAACTTTCCAATACTATATTATAAGAAAGTAATTCCAAGGAAGCAATTTCAAGAAAGCAATAAAACTACATATACTAAAAGTTATTTCCAAGCTCTCTAGAATTGCATAGTTGTGTACACACACATATACAACTTACACACTGAAAGTCAGAAGGTCAGTATATGTAAATGTCATGTCATTATATTCCACAAATAATGTCCCTCCCTAAATAATTCCCCAAACCAAGATGTGCCAAGTTATTTTTGCTTAGGAGAGTGGGTGACAGGTGGGAGAAAATCATCTACCAGGCACACAAATTCAGGACAAACAATTAACTCAAGCTCTTTGGTTATATACCTTAGTAGAATTCTTGCTCACGATCTTACAGATTAACCCAAGGAGACAAATAATTCCTAATATCCTTTCTTCTCTAAAACTATGATTCTGATGTTTAAATCATTCCCTAGCATTATAGATTCAGTGAGCCTCACTACATTAAGACACAATGTTTACTTTGTATGTCTGCCCATTAGACTACAAATCCATTCAAGAAAGAACTGTCATCTTTTATCTCAAGTACCTTACTCAGAGTAGGTATTCAAAAAGTATTTGCTAAATGAATAATAACTGGTTTCAACTGCCTTGCTCCAGTCCAAAGACGTCCTCCAAAATGAAACAAGTAGTCTTATACAAGCTTCTGAAGATTGCAGTTCTGGTGACTTAAAATTTCCTAGGATAGCTTTATCTCTTCAAAACACCCATATTACTGATGCTATAAATATGTGTCTGTAAGTCTGAAAATTATAAGGAGAACACCATAAAATGCAACATAGGCATAGCTTGGGGATATTGTGAGTTCAGTTGCAGACCACTCCAATAAAATGAATATTTCAATAAACGAAGTCACAATTTTTTTGTTTCTTAATGCATGTAAACATTATGTTTAATTATAGTATTGAATATTAAGTGTGAAATAAATATCATGATATTTAAAAATCCAAGATATATACATTAATTGAAAATATTAACCATCATCTAATCTTTTAAAGTTCATGATCTTTTTTGCTGGTGGAGGATTTTGCCTCCATGTTGATGGCTGCTGACTGATCAGAGTGGTGGCTGCTGAAGACTGGGGCGAGGGGGCTATGCAATTTCTTAAAATATGACAACAGTGTAGATTGCTATATCCACTGACTCCTTTCACAAATGATTTCCTAGTGGCATGCAGTGCTATTTGATAGCATTTTATCCACAATAGAACTTGTTTCAAAATTGGAGTTAATCCTCTTAAACCTGCTGCTCCTTTATCAACTAAGTTTATGCAATATTCTAAATGCTTTGTTGTTATTTCAATGATCTTCACAGCATCTTAGCAAGGAGTAGACACCACCTCCAGAAACAACTTTCTTTGTTCATTCATAAGCATCAACTCCTCATTCATTTAAGTTTTATTATGAGAATGTACCAATTCAGTCACATCTTCAGGCTCCACTTCTAGTTCTCTTGCTATTTCTATAACATCTTCAGTTACTTCCTCCACTGACATGTTGAACTCCTCAAAATCACCCAAAAGGATTGAAATAAACTTCTTACAAACTCCTGTTAGTGTTGATGTTTTGACGTCTTCCCATGAATTACTAGTGTACTTATCTTACACCTAGAATGGTGAATTCTTTCCAGAAGGTTTTCAATTTGCCTTGCCCAGATATCAGAGGAATCACTATCTATGGCAGGCTATAGCCTTATGAAATGTATTTCTTACATAATAAGACTTGAGTGTCAACATTCTCTTTGGTCCAATGGACCACAGAATGAATGCTGTGTTTGCAGGCATGAAAACAACATTAATCTAATTGTACATCTCCGTCAGAGCTCTGGGTGACTGTCAATAAACAGTAATATTTTTTTCTCCATAGTTTTATCTTTTTTTAAATTTATTTATTTTAATTGGAGGCTAATTACTTTACAATATTGTAGTGGTTTTGCCATACATTGATATGAATCAGCTATGGGTTTACATGAGTTCCCCATCCTGAACCCCGCTGCCACCTTCCTCCCCATCCCATCCCTCTGGGTCATCCCAGTGCACCAGCCCTGAGCACCCTGTCTCATGCATTGAACCTGGACTGGTGATGAACAGTAATATTTTGAAAGAGATCTTTGTCTTCTGAGGTTAGGTCTCCAGAGTGGGCTTAAAATGTTCAATAAATCATGTTGTAGACAGATGTGTTATCATCCAGGTTTTGTTATGCTATTTATAGAGCACAGGCAGAGTAGATTAAACATAAATCTTAAGGGCCCTAGAATCTGCTGAATAGTATAAGAACATTGGCTTCCACTTAAATTCACCAGCTGTATTAGCCCCTAACAAGAGAGTCAGCCTGTCCTTCAAATCTTTGAAACCATGCATTAACTTCTCTTTTTTAACTATGAAAGTCCTAGAGGGCATCTTCTTTCCATAAAAGACAGCTATATTTACTTTGAAAATCTGTTTAGTGTAGTTACCTTCACTGATTATCTTAGCTAGATTTTCTGGTAAAACTTGCTACAGCTTCCACATCAGCACTTGCTGCTTCACCTTGCACTTTGATGTTTTGGAGATGGCTTCTTTCCTTAAACCTCATGAACCAACCTCTGTTAGCTTCAAAGTTTTCTTCTGCAGCTTTCTCACCTCTCTCAGCCTTCATAAAAATGAAGAGTTAGGGCCTTGCTCTAGATTAGGCTGTGGTTGGTTTTATCTTTTATCCCAAACATTAAAACTTGCTCTGTATCAGAAATAAGGCTGCTTTGATTTCTTATCATTTGTGTGTTCACTGGAGTAGTACTTTTAAAAAAGTCCTTGAAGAACTTTTTTCTTTCCATTCACAATCTAGCTGTTTGGCCGAATAGTGCCTAGCTTTTGGCCCATCTTGCTTCTTGACACGCCTTCCTCACTAAGCTTAATCATTTCCTAATTTTGATTTAAAGTGAGAGACATGTCTCTTCTTTTCACTTGAAAATTTAGAGGCCATTGTAGGGTTATTAACTTGCTTATTCAATATTGTCATAGGGAAGAGACAGGAGGGAGCAGCCAGGGGTGAAGCTGTCCAAACACACACA